GGCATGCGCATACTTACAGATATTGTGCTTCGCGGAGAAATAATGGGACATGACAGAATATTTCCTGCTAGACTGAAACCAGTGACGTTGAGTGAGACATTCCAAAGAAATCCAGTTTAAAAAGCATTCCAATTGTCCGTCCCTGAAAATGAGCGCTTCCTGCTTTTTGACACAAACAACTTCCCCGGTGCGCCTAGACCAATAGCGAAACGCCATGAAGTCACGTGACCAGCTGAGGTAATGCAGAGTTTAGGCTTGTTTGAGATGCGCCTCGCCTCGCCTGCAATGTAGTCGAGAGTAGGCGGCTGCAGTGAGGGGAGGAGTGAAAAAAGCGCAATAAAGCCGGACAGATCTCGGTTGATTTCTCTCTGTTTTGGAAATGTTTAGGTTATTGGAATAAGACCCTCACCCTTTTTTTATTTTTATTATTAAATTTTTTTTTTTCTCTCTCTCTTCTATGTATTTTTTCTTCTCTAAGTGATGTATCAGCACGAATGTAACTGTATGATTGTTGATCTATGCCTTAATTGTTTGTACTTGAATTCTATATGGCAATAAAAAAAAAAAAAAAAAAAAAAAAAAAAGATCTCGGTTCTCGCAGTGAATCAGACACCTGTGAGATCAAAGGCGGATATCGCGGGATTAACGGGATTCACGCTCGTGCACGTGTTGCTAATAAACTGGATGTGATTTAAGTTCTGTTGCTTTTATATAAAAATAAATATAATGAACAAGACACCCAAAGTACTTGTTAAATATGTGTTTATCAATCTTTTTTTTTCTTTAATACAGACGTGTTTATTGTTTTAACAAAAATGAAATATAATAATATAATGAATATATGGCACTGTCAGAGAGTTTATTCACCCATATGTATACACATAAAACATGATATCAGTTTTAAAATCAAACATTTTAAAAGAGAACAATTTATCTGTTCTACTTTTATTTTTATTTATTTTACTTTTTTATTAGAATGCAAGTTACAAACATAGCCTACCTACAAGCACCACAATTCGTGAAACAAATAGGCCTATTATACAGCGACAAATAAATAAACATCAGAATAAAATTAATAATAAAATAAATAAATCAAAATAAGCTTAGCTTAAATAGACAGACTTACAAACTTCATCATCTATAAAATGAGAGCTATTTTTCACTTGAACATTTTAGAGTAGGCCTAGTATATTTGAGTTACTGACTATAGCTTTCTTATTTTTAACCCGTTTAAGAGATTCACAATATATATCAGTTTCAATTTGAAAAAAAAAAAAAAAAACATGGCCTTGATTTGGAGAATTTAGCTTAATGAATATGGAATTTACCTTCATCATGTTGTTTAAACCAATGAGCATTAAGCTGTGTCGTCAGCAAGTCGTTTCCCATCATGCTTTTGATGGAGAGCAACTGCGCGCGACTGCAGAATCCGACCCTTCCGCCTTGCGCTCGCGAGAGTTTTTTGACATACGTCGGCATGACATCAGAGCCAGGCGGACCGTTCTCGGACACATTTCTAACCGGCATGCATCTCGCGCTGATCACCGGTGATCGATTCTGCGCAGAATTTGCTCATCTCAAACAATCCTTTTGTTATGACTGTAACTAGGCAGACAAACCACACATCCAAAGAATGCATTTTTAATTTTTTTATTTTATTTGGTAAATTTTTCATCCATAAACAGAAATTTATGGGATCACTCCCTATTTTCTCACATTTTTTGGTTGAAGTAGACTCACTGCTTAAATCTTTTAGTTTATCTAGCAATAAAAAATGTAATAGATTCCTGAAAATATATGAACAATTATTTTGTATTGGATCAGATAGTCAAGATTAAACAGCTTTATATCATACATTGCTTATTTTATTTGTATTATTATTTTTTAATTTTTTATTTTATGTTTTATAATTGTGTAATGTAATATAATTATTTTTATGGCGCTTGATTTGGAATTATTCTGTATAATTTGTCTTTGCTTTACCTCTTTTATGTTCTCCTGAATGTATTTGTTAATGTATATGTTTCTTCAATAAAAAAGAAAAATAAATAAATAAATAAAAAAACAGTTGACGCTTTGTAGGTGCAAAGTCAAAACTATGGAGGACCAGGAGTGCCACTTAAAAAATCAAATGAAGATTCAATATATCAATTTAATAATTCACACATAAAAATGTATATAAATAAATCACTTTTAAATGGACAAATTAATAGACATTTATAAAGTTGTTTATTTAATTGGTGTTTTTAAATGTACTGCAATAAAACCATAAAACAGTAAATAAATAAATCAAAATTAAATGTATAAATAAATAGACACATTTAAAATTGTTTATTTAATTCATGTTTTAAAACGTAGATTAATAAAACAATAAAAACATACTTAAATAAGTGATTTTAAAGGCACATGTTAAATCACCTTTTTAAAGCATTTGTCAAACCATTTCTCTATCTATTTGCCAAACGCTTTTCTTTTTCGGTTTACCAACTGCTTTTCTTTATCCATTTGTCAATCGAGTTAAAAAAAAATGCCATTGGACAGTACACACGTGGGAGCAACCAATCACCTTTCGCCTGTCTCCCGCTTGCAAATCAAATGTAACTTTCACTGTCATTGGACAGTTAGAGATAGAGAGACCATACGTAACGTCATCAGCGGGAGTTTGAAGACGGGTTTGGCGAGCGACGGAAAAATGGCAGATGAAGGTGTTTTCAGAGGGATTGCGAATGATTTATTGACTTTAGCTGATTTCTGCGGACGAAATTCTCCTCTTGATTATAATTATATATATAAAAGGGTTTTAGAGTTGAGGGAAGACGTTGCAAATGCAGCGAATAATTGTGTGTGCACAATAAATGGAAGGATTATTTACAATAAATAAATGTTTGATGAGGCTCAGAGTGTCTTACTTCCAAATATACTTGAACAACCCCAGTCGTTGGATGTACCAGCAGAAGAGACGGCAAGATTTATCGTGTCGCTAAGGACAGTCCGACGAAAGCTTGCAAATCATGGTTTACTATGTAAAAGAAAATGTTGTATTTTTTTCCTGGGGATTATCACGCTGATACGTAGTACTTCCGGACTTTGTGATCTTTGTGCACTGCCACTTCCGTTGAATCACCGATCTGGGGATTCATAAATTTTCTCCAAATTTTGGGGCATCTCGCCCGGGGGGCGGGGTTACGTCCTACGTCACATCTCTCATGCGGGTTCTCGTCGACCAGGGTGAGCGGCGCGCGCACCATAGCGGTCACAGGCAGTCACAGAACTAGCTACCGAATCTAGGTCTTTAAATCTAATAAGTTATGTTTTTTACAACACGTTTATTGATGGGAAAGTTTAGTGAACGAAGTCGAAACCAGGAATTGCGGTCTTTCAGTTTGTTTATCGTTAAGTTACCTACCTAACGTTACCATGGGTTTAAGTTGTACAGTAACAAGATGTGTAGCCTTAATTACAATGGCCAAGTCGCATTTCATATTACCAGATGAATAGGCTTCGCTCAGTTTATTAAATACATCCAACCTGAAAAGTCTCTGACTCTTACAAACTATGAAGGGACAATGAATCAATCAATACACTGACATGGCAAGCCTACTTTCTTTGCACAGCCTTACCGTGATTTTGTCACTCTTCTCTCCACTCCTAGACCGTCTGGTGACAGCGGGGAAACTTTTACCTCGATAAAGTTAGACCTACTTATTGTATTGCAGAAAAGTAAACTCCAGTTAACCAGTTCATGTTTCTTCTTTAGGTGATTCAAGCACTAGTTACGACTAATTTGACTCAATACTGCTATTGCAGGTTGAATTATGAAATAGAAACAGGCCTTAATGCAAGATTTTAATCATGTCAATACACAATACATCAAGGATGGTAGAGGACGACTCATAAATGTTAACGTTATTAACCCCAGTGACGGGTAGGTTTAGGGACTGGTTGGGGTAGGTCATATATTTATAAAATTGATTATATTACAAAAATTCATTATTTATATATTAATTTAATTACTGTTTTTAATTATGTTTTCTAAATGGTTTTCATATTGTTATTGTTGTAGATTGACATTGATGATGAAGTTAGGGAAGATATTCAAGGGCAACAAGCAGAAGGTTTTCATGTTCCTGAGTTGGATCTGCCTCGAAGCTTGACCGAAGATGAGCTGGCAGCATTACCAAACCCGGATGTACCTTTCTCGGAAGCATTATCTGTCTACAGGGAAACAGTTCTTGCTGTTAAACAAATGCTTGGTGAATCATAGTCTTCTTTTAAAGGTTTAAAAACTTTAGGCATAGATTTTAAATATGTATATAAGACAGACCTATCGTATTGTTGATCAGAAATCACAAACACAGTAATATCAGAAAAAGCATTTAATTTAGTTTTTTTTATGCATAACATGCTGTTAACTACATTTTAAACTATCCATTAAAACAATGTTGGTATGACGAGATTAAATTAACACTCCCACTTTTTGGGACTTTAGCTTATTCACCATATCCCCCAGCGTTAGATAAGTCCATACATACCTTTTTCATCTCCATGCGTGCTGTAACTCGGTCTCACGCACCTGCCGCTAGCCTAGCTTAGCACAAAGACTGGATGTAAATGGCTCCAGCTAGCATACTAATCCTCATAAGTGACAAAATTACACCAATATTTTCCTATTTACATGATATGATTTGTAAAGTCACACATTTTCTAACCGTACACAAACTGGAAACTAGATTCTGAGAAGGCATAATCATAATCACTCCACCCAAGTAGCAGTGCTTTGCTTTCTGAGAATCTAGTTCCCAGTATGTGTACGGTTAGAAGATGGCTGTGTCTCATGTAGCCTTGTTATTGTAAATCACAACATGTAAACAGGAAAATGTAGGTGTTATTTTGTCACTTATTGGGAGCAGTATGCTAGCTGGAGCCATTTACCTCCAGTCTTTGTGCTAAGCTAGGCAAGCGGTGGGTCTGTCAGACAGAGTTACAGCATGCACAGAGATGAGAAGGGTATGTATGGACTCATCTAACTCTGGGGGATACGGGGAATAAGCTTAAGTCACAAAAAGCCTTTAACTGTCATGCATCAATTGTCAATTATTAATTGGTGTCAATGTTTACAAACTTTTTTTTTTGCTACTGCTTTTAGCAATGAAAAAATCCTGTTGTACGAACCTAAATGGTTCTAGTGCATTGCCATTGTCAATAAACCAGCGAAACTGTTACATTTCATGTTGTAAAATAAAACATCCCTGAATGATAAAATGCCCTAACAACTGTAACATTTCATTGTCAAAAAAACAATCATATTATTTTCAAACAACAATGTATTTAAACTCAACCCTTATGAGATGCACTCATCATAAGGTGGTAGTTCATCTTACTCAAGAGTGTATGACATCTTACTTTCTTTAACCAAACACAAATGGAGTAATAATAAATACAATTCTGTTCATAGCTTTGTAATGATACTGTTGATCACAATTCAATATGAAATTCTAGGATTTAGTTAAATGTTTCTCCACTAATGTTTGGCTGAGGAAATGAAGATGTTGTACAACTAGGTTGGACTGAAGGTGAGTAAATGAAGAGGTAAATTTTATTTATGGTTTAACAATTCCTTTAAATGGATGGTCTGGAGTAAATCCCTTTGTACATCCCTTTAATGCTCATGTGTTACACTACGCTACTCCAAATGTTGGTGCCCACAGTATGCCGTTGCTCATGTTTGTCTTGAAAGACTCGTAATTATAATGGATGGGTAATTTTAAAACAATGTTACATGTGTTTGCCTCTGGAAATATTTTCTCTGGTGCGTCGTGCAGAAATTCGATTTGGGGCTGCTGCAGAAAGCCATGGGGTGGAATGACTGAAGACCCTGAAGCAAACTCCAGCACATTCTCCAATGTCAGTGGTGCACATTCTTCATCTGTAACACATGTAGATATTCGGTCTAACAAGTGTACTGTTAGTGCCATTCCAAACAAGCAAAAACAATTACAAGGTGGGTTTTTCCACCTTTAAATAATTGTGTATATATATAAAAATAACTAAATAAATTATCCAATCATTCATTCACTATCAGTGGTGGAATGATTTATTTAATTACATTTTTCACATATCTGTACTTTACTTCAGTAGAATCAACAGTGCATACTTTCACTGTTATTTTTGCAACCATTATCATACTTTCTACTCCACTACATTTGTAAAATGTAAAAAAATATATTTGTAAATACCCTCAACATCAATGATCCAGTCTCTCCAGAAGCACAAGGTCCTGGTCTCTAGCTCTCTCTTATAGCTGTCGTGATCTGAAAGGTTTGCTTTAAAAAGTGATGCCAGGTCTGAAGATCTCAGGGGTTTTTTGTCTTCAACAAATATGATGTGAAACAGATCTGTGTGTGTCTGCATTTCTTGAAGAAGTCCAAGGGTCTTAAAACCATCAACAAACCTGTAAAAAAACATGTAGAATTTACAAAGAACAAGGTATGAAAACTATTTCAACAAATAAGAACGTTTTTAATACTACGTACTGTTGCAGTGCAACATTGCATCTCCCATCAACATAATACTCCACAGCTGACTGTACCAGCGTGTCCCGCTGCTTAAGAGTACTAATAGATCTAAAGGCTCCAATTATGGACAGGCAATCTTCTGCCATTTCAATGGCAGCTTTGGCTTCTGCAACCGTTTCAGCGTCTTTTATCTAAAAAATACAAATACAAACAGTCGTGCTACAGCTACAATACAAAAGTACTGTATTAAAGGAGTAGTTCTCTTTTGAAAAACTTTTGCTGATAATTTACTCGCCCCCATGTCATCCAAGATGTCCATGTCTTTCTTTCTTCAGTTGAAAAGACGATAAGGTTTTTGATCAAAACATTCCAGGATTTTTCTCCATATAATGGACATAGTGGGGTCCAAAAGACAGTTTCAGTGCAAACTGATCAAAGGGCTTTAAACGATTCCAGACGATGAATAAGGGTCTTATCGAGCGAAAGGATTGCTCATTTAAAAAAACAAAGTTTAAGTTTTATAAGCTCAAATGCTCGCCTTGCTCTGTTCTGTGATGCACGTTCGTGACTCTCCTGTTCGAACTCGTTCATCAAAACAAACAAATCTTTTTCCGAGTCATTTGGTTCATTCAATGCACGAAATGACTCAAAAAAAGATTTGTTCATTTTGATGAACGAGTTCGAACAGGAGAGTCACGAACGCGCATCACAGAACAGAGCAAGGCGAGCATTTGAGCTTATAAAACTTAAACTTTGTTATATATTTTTTAAATGAGCGATCGTTTCGCTTGATAAGACCCGGTTACACTTTATTTCGATAGTCACTTTAGACGTTCTACTAATTATAAATAACTTTTCAACTACATGGCAACTAACTCTCATTAGAGTATTGGTACATTATAGCAGACTGTCAGTAGACTGTTAGGTTATGGTTAGGTGTTAAGGTTCAGGTTAGGAGAATAAGTTTACTTGTAGTCGCTTAGTTACTTACCAAATAGGGGGACCAACAAAATAAAGTGTTAGCAGATATTAAGCTGACAGTCTACTAATACTCTAATGACATTTAGTTCACATGTAGTTGAAAAGTTACTTATAGTTAGTAGAATGTCTAAAGTGGACTATCGAAATAAAGTGTTACCTAAGACTCTTATTCATCGTCTGGAATTGTTTAAAGCCCTTTGAACAGTTTGCACTGAAACTGTCTTTTGGACCTTGAATCGTTTGGTTCCCATTGAAGTCCATTATATGGAGAAAAATCCTGGAATGTTTTCATCAAAAACCTTAATTTCTTTTCGACTGAAGAAAGAATGACATAGACATCTTGGATGACATGGGGGTGAGTAAATTATCAGCAAAAGTTTTTCAAAAGAGAACTACTCCTGCATATCTATTTTTAACAATTAAAAAAAATACTTACTTTGCAAAGCATTTCTTTAAAGGTCTCATCATCTACTTCATCCAAGGTTGCAGGACTGCTGGGTTTACCACAAACCTGGAGAAAGAGCTTTTCTGAAAAGAAATGTGGCCCCATTCCTCCATGAATTATACAAACTGATATCATTTGAGATATCTGCCTGTAGAGACCTTTATGCAAAGCTGTAAAGAAAATTTAATAACCAAAATATTTTAATGAACTACAATGACTTAATGTTATGAAATAATTTTAAATAAGACCTTTGGTTTAAATGCTTACCTTCACTGTCGAGCCGCAACCTCTTGCTATTTTCAGGGCCCGCAAATATGCTAGACTGTTGGACAGCCTTAAGGAGCAATCTGAGGTACTCTCTAGTTGGACCACCACCGTCCACAGCCCCCTCTGCTTCTTTTGTATCATCAACAAAAACGACATCCAGTCTTGCTCCGAGATTAAATCTTCGCCGACTAAAAGCCTGAACAGTGCTTCTTAAAATGTTGTGGGTATTGCCTTTGTAATCCCGTACTATATTGATCTGATTACTAGTGGGACTCTCATCGTCTATTTTGGCGGAAAGGCGACTCAGTATAGTTTGGAGGTCGGTCCTAGAAAAGAATTTATTATGAATGCAAATAATAAATGATGACATTTGTATATCAAATGGGATACAGGTATATAGATGACTATGGGTTAACTGAAACTATAACACTTTAATTCTCACTTCTGAACAGTCTTTTCCTGCTCTGATTGAGGGCAGAACGATGTCAGATGTGCATTAGAGGTGCTAGGTTGATCCGATTGGCTGGCAGTCCCAGAAGAATTATAATCATCATTATCATGGTTCTCATAGTCATCAGGTGTAAGAATGGTCTGCATGAACTGATGAATTACATAAAACAGTAAATGACAAGCTAAGAAAAAAAAAAAAAAGTATAACTTTTTGTAAATCTACCTCTGCATCTTCAGATGAAATCCACTGCACAAAAAGTGTGGTTGGCCCTCTGATATTTCTTTCAGAAATTGTTCCACATAGGTCATTTCGAAGTGGTGGTGATAAGGCTTCCTGAATTTGGAACCATTCTGTAGCATCCTCCACCTCTCCAACAAAGTCAAACAGTGCCTATACATTTTGATGATTTCACACTTAAACAGTTTAGACTTTGCATGCCAAAAAACAAACTATAAAAAAAAAAAATACCTTACCTACCTTAATTGATTCCGTTAAAATAAATTTCCTGGTTCTCATTAACCCACTCGGATATTTTACTTTTATTGGCACACCATGGGCAAATTCAGGTAAACTCGCCATTCGCGCTCGTCTCTCATCTATTGCCTAAAATAATGTAGGTAAGTTTCTGAATCAAACTGTTATAACAAAACAAAATACAACCATCTTTTTTATTGTAACAAACTGGCAACTGCCCACATATCAATTTACAGAGGCGCTAGATCTTCACCATCCTGTCTACATTTATATAAATTTAGTCTATCCCAATTTCTGAGGTCTAGGTGTGCCTTGTGTAAGGGTTAATGCCCTCCGAGGTGTCCATTGTCAGGTTTTAATGGACGACGGCGAGGCGTGAACCGGCCGACGCGCAGCGGAGGACGGCTGCCTCCGCCGAAGTCCATTAAAACCTGACAATGGACACCTCGGAGGGCATTAACCCGCTTATACCATGGTCACTTGACAAATAAAACATTAGTTTATATTTTAATTAGGCTAAATCTAGATTTACAAATAATAACTTGCCTGACGGTTTATTTAGCAACCGGAGATATTTATAGTCCGCTCAGCTTGTAGAACCCTTCAGGTTCAAAAACGCATTTTTTTTTCATGAAACACAAAGGTAGGCATAGTTATTTTTTTTATTACACATAAAACAATTAATCAAACAGGCTCCTTAGGCTTGAAACGCTGTACTCTCCTCATGCCTTGGTTGTCTGGACAGCTGCGTAAAACTCCCAATAGAGTAACGTTATCTCCAAACTCCCGCAGGGTCTCATTCAGAGCAGTAGCGGTGTAATTTTCAAAGCTTGAGTCCTTTTTTTTTTTTTTTTTTTTTTGAAAAATAAAGTCTCTGAGTGTATTTACTGCCCATTTCTTATTTTTTTTTTTTCATCTTGATCTCATCTTTTTCGTCTTCTATTTGATTCAATTCTCCTGGTGTTATCTCTGTCTTTGTGTCGTTTCTCCGTTTTATTTACATTTTTTCTTTCTTCAGCAGCATCCCAGTCGTCAAAGTTGTCATATTCTCCATAAATGTTAAAAGAAATAACGAAGTCCCTCATTGTTGTATTAGTAGGCTATGTAATATCTAACTAACGTTAGTTTGTTTTGATAGAGCAAATTGTTAACAGATACTTTGACTGCCTGTTGCTATGGTTACTCACAGCTGTTGTGGGCAGCGCATTTATTTATTAATTTCGAACGGTAAACAGGCAGTTTCACCAGAACTACTTTACTAGGTGTCCTCTATCATTTTTTAACGGACACCCTGCAGCCACTCAGAATCGAGTATTCACCCAGACCATGGTATAAAGCACTGTAACAACACCTTACCAGGACTTTTAATTACTCCCTTTCTCTCAATACCTAAATGATATTTTAATAATATCCAAAGACTATTTTCTCTATGATGATGCTTTTGTACAATTATTCAGCTTGTAATTTCGTTTAGTTTATCTGCTAAGCATCTACTATGTATAAGTTGTGTTACACATAAATATGTATTGTCTTAAAGGAGAACTCCGGTGCAAAATGAACCTTTGGTCTAATAAAACATCAGTACCTAGTCAACCGTTCTCTGAGATTTGATTTCATGATAATCGAATGTAAAGAGTTTTATCTTTAAAAACTGTTTAGCGTATAATGCTAGTACTAGGGGCATTGACTAACTAAAACAACATCGCCAGTTTATACCACTAACAAGGCTCAAAATAGCCCCACACTAACACAGTACTATGTACCAATGTTTTATTAGACTAAAGGTTCATTTTGCACTGCAGTTCTCCTTTAAAAAAGGCAGCAACATCCTGATTTCCTTTACTTAGACTTACCTTTTTGCGGTTATTTTCAGATTCTTCAGTATTTATCTTCTGAAGTTCCTGAAACATATTACAAATTCAGACACTCCATTGTAATGCAGACAGAAAGATAACACAATGTCATCAGGGGATGTCTGTTATCAAGTTTACCCTACATACTTTGGCTTTATCTGCAATCAGAGACTGGTTGTATTCCTCATCCTGCTCCTCACGCATCCTCCGCCATTCACTTAAAGCTTCCTGTCAAAATTATGAAATAGGAAATTTAGAAATATTAAAGACACTTCTAAAAGCATCTACCATAAAACCTGAACCACATAAATGTGGATAATGCACAAGATCACTCTCTTCTTGTTTGAGTGTTTTGAAATACTAATATTGTGAACCTACAAGCACAAACCTAATTTGAAGAAAAGCTCTTAGCAATGCAAATTGAAGTTTACCATGTCTGTTTTTTCCTCTGTTAAATCGATTGTCTGGTTGATGAATGAATCACTGTCTGAGGAATGTGGTTGGTGTTCGTTCTCTAATAATGGTAGCAGGGAACATTCAGTCCTTGGCCTTCAAAAACATGAAATTAAAATTTGTTAATAACCTACCTTACCTAATAAGAAACTAAATATTAAATCGACCGGTCAATGTTATCCATACCTGCAGCCCTCAATGTGAACTTTAAGTTCATTGAAATTAAACTCTTTATCGCAGAGAAGACATCTCTCCATTGGGCCAAGCATGGGAGATTTACAGACAACCTTAAAAAATTCAAAAGCAATCTCAGAATTTTAGATAACGAATTCAAGGAGTAGTTCAGTTTTAAAAAGAACTTTTGCTGATAATTTACTCACCCCCATGTCATCCAAGATGTCCATGTCATTCTTTCTTCAGTCGAAAAGAAATGAAGGTTTTTGATGAAAACATTCCAGGATTTTTCTCCATATAATGGACTTCAATGGGGTCCAAATGGTTCAAGGTCCAAATGAAAGTTTCAGTGCAGCTTCAAAGGGCTTTAAACATTCCAGACGATGAATAAGGGTCTTATCAAGCGAAACGATCGCTAATTTAAAAAATAAATAGAAAAGATTTAGTCTTATAAGCACACATTCTCGTCTTGCTCTGTTCTGTGATGCGCATTCGTGACTCTTGTTCAAACTCGTTCATCAAAATGAACAAATCTTTTTTCGAGTCATTTGGTTCATTCAACGAATGAAATGACTCGAAAAAGATTTGATGAACGAGTTTGAACAGGAGAGTCACGAACGCGCATCACAGAACAGAGCAAGGCGACCATTTGAGCTTATAAAACAAACTTTTTTATTTATTTTTTAAATGAGTGATCGTTTCGCTTGATAAGACCCTTATTCATTGTCTGGAATGTTTAAAGCACTTTGATCAGTTTGCAGTTTGCACTGACAGTTTTGGACCTTGAAACTGTTGGAGTCATTGAAGTGCATTATATGGAGAAAAATCCTGGAATGTTTTGATCAAAAACCTTAATTTCTTTTCGACTGAAGAAAGAATGACATGGTCATCTTGGATGACATTGGGGCGAGTAAATTATCAGCAAAAGTTTTTTTTTTAAAGTGAACTACTCCTTTCAGTTGTCTAGAATATAATAAGCACACATTAATTGAAGTAATTTACTGTAGTAAAAAAAACTTACAGAACTGGACAGTTCAATGTCTTTTTGCATAGGACGTATGTAGATGACAGCGTGTCCCATATTTTCTTTTAGAGTCTTAATTGTGTATCCTGTGTTTGGGGAAGGCAACACCACCAGATTTCTAGATCGGGTCATGCCTGATGTTTTTAAAATCTCGAATCCCCCACAGTTACCAAGTTTTGGATATGTAGTTAGAATGTAGTCTTTGAAATCTTCTGCATTATTTTCATCACCTGTAAAAAAGAAAAGATAAAGCAAACAATTTTAGAAGCAAAACTTTTGTTTAACAACTTTTGTTTATAAACAAAAACATACATGATACCCACCAAGAAATGTAACTTTTTTCTCTCCTAGTCCTGCAGCTTCCAGTTCCTCCCTTTCATATTTATTTGGTGCAACACTTTGTGTCATGCTACTTAAGCAGCAGAAAACTCTTGTGAAGCTACTGCGATGTCTTGCAGAACGACTATGGCGACTTAAAGGTCTCCTGCTGGCTTCTGCTCCATAGCTTGCGAAAAGTCTATTTACTTCAACTGTAAATTTGAAAACAATGTCAATGTAAACTTAACCCATAACAATGAATTTTAGAAATGCTTTGTTTAATGTGCATGTTTTTGTTTATTTTTAAATATAACATTGAAAAAACATATGACAGAAATTGTTAGACGTTATAGACCTTAAAGGGTTAGTTCACCCAAAAATGAAAATTCTGTCAGTATTTACTCACCCTCATGTTGTTCCAACCCCGTAAGACCTTCGTTCATCTTCGGAACACAAATTAAGATATTTTTGTATGAAATCTGAGAGCTGGATCACTCCTGCATACTAGTCCATAGGCTTCTTGAGGGATTGAAACTTGCCGGCCTCGAAAAGTTATTAGAGACATCATTAAATAGTCCAAGCAATCTTAACTTTATCAAGCAACGAGAATACTTTTTGTGCGCAAAAACAAACAAAAATAGCGACTTTATTTAAACTATTCACTTCCTTCTCCATGGGCCTGTAGTCAGTTAACGTAGTGTGATAGCGTAGAGCTACGTCACACGTAGGCTCACTATTGGCCGACGCTGGTCATGTGTGTGATGCGTGTGACGTACAATAACAGAAGCTTACGCTAATAAACTAGTAACCTGACTCGAGGCAGAGAGAGAAGGAACTGAATAGTTGAAATAAAGTCATTATTTTTGTTGTTGTTTTTCGCACAAAAATTATTCTCGTCGTTTGATAAACTTAAGATTGAGCCACTGAAGTCACTTGGACTGTTTTAACGATGTCTTTAATAACTTTTCGAGGCCGGCAAGTTTCAATCCCTCAAGAAGCCTATGGACTAGTATACAGGAGTGATCCAGCTCTCAGATTTCATCAAAAATATCTTAATTTGTGTTCTCGAAGATGAACGAAGGTCTTACGGGGTTGGTAAAAAAAACAATATATAAATGTCCAAATGCTAATAAAACAATTTTACACAACCATTTTACACAACCTTCTATCTTTATGTCTCTCATTAAGTTAAATAGGCATCAAAATTAAATAGGCTAATAAATATTTTAGAACTTACCAAAATTTAAGCCAAATCCGTATTGTACTCTTGACATAACAAAGGAGAGAAAATGGCGTTTTACCCCATCTCCAAAGGCAGAATCACCTGTGTATAACAGAAATATTACACAGCCAACTGTGTAGTTATATTTATGTAAAACAAAGGAAAGGAATACTTCACACAGAAATTAAAATCCCATCATAATTAACTCACCCTCATATTCTTCAAAACATATATGACTTTTTCTTTAATGGAATTGACTGTTTCTAAAATTAATTTTTTTGGTCCAATACTTATTTATGAATTATACTTATTTAAAATTACATGAGGGTGAGTAAATGGTTGAAACCATTGTGTAGTTTTTCGCTAAATTAAACCTTACCTCCAAGTAAAACACACAATGGATGGGCCCAGTTAGTCATGGAATTTTTGTAAAATGTCAGGATTTCTCTCTCTCTCTCTTCTGGACTTTTGCGTAGATCCATCTTTGCCACAAGATCTGGCTGATCCTCCACTTCTTGCAGTACAAAACGTCTAAATATGTAAGCAGCACGGTTCAAATCAGTCTCAGTTCTCCAGTCTGCAAAAATGAGCATATAGATATATCTGTAGTATCAAATAATATGACATACAAATGATAATACAAATAAAATGTTAATTTGTGAGTTGCCAGATTTATGTTCATAAAAAGACCTTCAGTATCCTCACTGCTGAATTTCAAATCTCCGCTATCTAGTCTCCTGCTACTCGTCCCTTCAAAAGCCAGATCATGACGCTGCTCTCTGCTGCTATGACTCCTTTCTGTAACCTGCTCATCGTTCTCCTGTCTGCTGCTACAGGTCTCTTCTAAAACCTTGTCACTGTCTTCAAGGTCAATGATCTCCTGCCTGTAACAGTTTTGACCTCTGCTGCTTTCACCTCTTTCTACGCTCTTCTCTTTTGCTGACCTATTTTTTTTGAAAAAAATTTCTGTTATATAAAAAAGAGCATAAAATGCTCTGACAACATGTAGACAACATGTGTTGCTAAACACAAGAATCAAGAAAACATTTTCAAAATAACTTAAAGAGCCCCTATCATGGATTTTTGAAAATGACTGTTCATATGGTGTGGAATATAGCTCTAAGGGAATGAAAACATCCTGCAAAGATTTATATCTGAAAGTGTACTGCAGTGCTTTATCAATATGTTTATCCATTATGCCAACAAACAATAACTGACTGGGTCTGTCATCTGACCAATCACCGCCGATTAGTGTGACGCAAAGGAGTGGTTTGGAAAAATGAGTCGTTGTACGAATCATTTGAGAGTCGGTGAGCAAATCAGTTAAAAATAAATGCATATTATAAGACAAATAAAGCGTTTTTTTATCCTTGCATGCATGTTAAACTGTTTTTGGGAACTCCTAAAACAAAAAAAGGAACATTTCAAATGCTATGATAGGGGCTCTTTAAATCATTTTTTCATTTATATAGTACTATACATTATGCACACTTTCACACCAGCTTACTGAAACATAGTGGTACCAATATCTTAAATTCCATAGGTCATCATTTACTCACAAGATACATTTGTCCACATGGTCTTGGATTTCAGCATGACTAAATGTTTCTTCACAGTAAATGCACTGTACAGGGGGCCCAGAACCACATTTAGGTTCACACGATTCCTTAAAACAAGCAGTGGAAAAACTGTCACCTCCATTTTCAAAACTCATTTACTGCATGCTTGTGGCCTTTATGATTACATACCATGTCAAGGTCTTTCTGAAGAGGCCTTACATACACAATTGCTGCATGTATACCAATAGTGTCTTGAAGATAATGCGGTGTATACCCTTCTGATGGACAGGGGACGACTTGCAAAGTTTTTGTCCTTGTAGCACCATATGGTCTGAACAATTCAAACCCCCCACCATCTTTCAGTTTTGGAAACTCCATAAGCAATGTGGACTTGAATTCTTCAGATGTGCAGTGCTTATCTGCAACAGAAATAGTCACTTAAACACAAATCATGAGAAAATCTATCCAATTTTTTCCCAGAGAACACCTAATTACAAAAATGACACCCATGTTACCTGAAATATTTAGACAAAAAAAAAAAGACACATTTATTTCAGGTAACTTGAAGCACTAAAATTGTTCCATACAAAGCGTGTGTGTATGTACCTGGGAAAACTATCTTTTTTTCTCCCAACCCTGAACATTCGAGATCCATCTTTTCCCACAGCTGTGGTACTTTGCAATCACGTCGTCCACTCAAACAGAAAAATTTGTGAGTGTAAGTCTTTTTGGTGTATGGCTTTATTAAAGCCTGTCGTCTGCGCATTCCAGAGGACAAAGAACTGCTCTGCGGGTATGGAGAAAAAAGTCTTGATACCTCACCTGTGGAGACATGAAAAGCAGGGTTATAAAATAAGTTTGATCATAGTCCTGGCTGTTTAAACACCCATTCCACATATAACCCCAGTTTTAAAATTAGCAAGGTCTGGGTTGTTAAGAATTTTACCATAATTAAACCTACCATGCAAACCAATCTATACATGAATATAAATTAAATCATAAAACTGAATGCAGTATGCTGCCAATAAAAATAATCTGCCCGCTGTTAATGTGTCTTTTTGGTTAGTTTAAGTTTGTACTGTGTACAAAAAGAATCACAATGCTGATTTTTACTTTCTGGAATTGAAATATAAAATAATGAAAATGTTTTGTGTGTGTGTGTGGGGGGAGGGGCATTTCAGACACACTCACAGCGGACATCTAGGCAACAGATCTAGGCAACTGTCTAAACTGAATTACACACGCAGACACTCAAGCAGACGTTTTCCAAAGCTGATTTTTATTCAGTTTTATATAGTTTCAAATATTTATTAAAATATGAAACATTTGCCAAGGTCCAGTGCGGTCCTCGGTAACAGCTAGATTACGTTATCTATCGGCATAACTTAGCCATAGCGTGAGATAATGCCTGGCTATAATTGTTGTAGAATTGTGTTACTAAGATTTTAGTATACCCAATGGGTTGACGTCACAAAATAGACTGATACATGACTGAACCTCGTCGATTATGGTCTAATCTAACATCATAACATGGCTTACTTACGCTGAACAGTTTCTCTGGCAACTGAAGATGCCCGCGACTCTGGCTGAGGCTGAGGAACTGCAGAGGGCCGAGGGTTTGACACTTGCTGGACACTGTTTGTGTTGTTCTCCTCACGTTCCAATGCTGCAACAGCTTCCCGCAAAAGCTGACTGACAGATTTCGCCATGACTTTCAATAACAATAACTTCTCATAATCACACTTTCACCTCTGCTTTCACCCTCATTCACACACAAGGCGTCGACGACGTCGCTTAAAGGAAGAATAAGCCCCACCCGCTCATTAACATATAATTTGCATACAGGTTGTCTTTGAAAATGAAAACGAAAATCAAAACTGTGAAATAAAAGAGGAAATAAAATGATTAAAATTTAAAACTAAACTTTACATTTGAATTTGATTTCTGTCACTATTATAGCGTGAATGTTAATAAAAAAGCTTTGTGAAAACTGTATTTGCAGTTTCTTTTCACTTTTGCCTTTTCATTTTAATATTGGCAGTCTTGTCTCGAGATTGTAGTGAAAATGAAACGTGAAATCACCAATTGCATTTTATTTTTCAATTTGACAGGGATGATGCACTATCACCATGAAAATGAAATCATTTAATTTCATTATCAATTTTGTCACATATTCTGCGTACCATTTTCTGTAATGAAATGGTTAAACTTGTTTTATTTTTATCGTTTAATTTATTTATTTAATTTCGGCAGAAAATGCCTTCCATACAATAAAACCATAAAACAGTAAATAAATAAATCAAAATTAAATGTATAAATAAATAGACACATTTAAAATTGTTTATTTAATTCATGTTTTAAAACGTAGATTAATAAAACAATAAAAACATACTTAAATAAGTGATTTTAAAGGCACATGTTAAATCACCTTTTTAAAGCATTTGTCAAGGCATTTTCTGCCGAAATTAAATAAATAAATTAAACGATAAAAAGTAAAAATAAAACAAGTTTAACCATTTCATTACAGAAAATGGTACGCAGAATATGTGACAAAATTGATAATGAAATTAAATGATTTCATTTTCATTTTCATTTTCATGGTGATAGTGCATCATCCAATTGAAAAATAAAATGCAATTGGTGATTTCACGTTTCATTTTCACTACAATCTCGAGACAAGACTGCCAATATTAAAATGAAAAGGCAAAAGTGAAAAGAAACTGCAAATACAGTTTTCACAAAGCTTTTTTATTAACATTCACGCTATAATAGTGACAGAAATCAAATTCAAATGTAAAGTTTAGTTTTAAATTTTAATCATTTTATTTCCTCTTTTATTTCACAGTTTTGATTTTCGTTTTCATTTTCAAAGACAACCTGTATGCAAATTATATGTTAATGAGCGGGTGTGGTTCGCAACGCCGTTGCGTGGAGGAGGGAAAATGTCGGTTATGACATACAAATAGGCCTACATCACATTAAATGCATGTTAAAACTGCATAATTCGAAAGGATGAAAATGTATACGCAAGAATACAACCTTTACTGACAATTTTCAATGTGTGTGTGTGTGTGTGTGTGTGTGTGGGGGGGGGGGGGGTTGAATTATTATTTCAAATTTTTATTTAACCCATTATTTGATGTATGACTAAATGCCTGACGTGCATGCGTGAACACAGGTCGTGTTGGAGTCTTGACCAATTTGTGCCATAGCGCACCGCGCCGCGTTTGCGTCATTGCAACACCTGCAGGAACGCCCGAAACATTACAAATGAACTAGTCAGGTACTAAGGTAGGAAGGATTAAATTAACAATGGCTGATAACCTTAATTGCAGCAGCGGTAACGTCTCCAGTGCGCACGAGGCGTTTAGTTTATCCGATGGACACTTTGCGCTCGTGAAAGCTGCAGTTCTTGGGTCCATTTTCGTGCTGGCAACAATTAGCAACTTATTCCTCCTCCATGCCCTCTGGAAAAGACGCAAAAGACACACCCGAACGCAGCTGTTTCTTCTGCACCTGTGCCTGGCTGACCTGGTTGTCGCTTTCTTCCAAGTCCTGCCGCAGTTATCCATGGAGATTACGCACCGGTTCAAAGGCTCCGATCTGGTGTGCAGATCAGTTAAATATCTTCAAGTGGTCGGGATGTTTGCGTCCACGTATATGATCGTGGCCATGACCATAGATCGCTATCACGCGGTCTGCAAACCCATGGTGTCGTTCTTCAGGGGGTCTTTCCGCAGGTATGTTGCCATAAGCGCCGCCTGGCTCATCTCACTGGCGTTCAGCGCTCCGCAGATGTTCATCTTCTCTCTCCAAGAAGTTGAGAAAGACGTTTTCGACTGCTGGGCGACATTTCTTGAGCCCTGGGGCAGCAAAATATACATAACGTGGATCACTTTATCCGTGTTTGTCCTTCCAGCCGTAATCTTGATGTATTGTCAGATAAAGATAAGCGCAGGGATCTATTTCAACATGAAGAGGAAAGCCTTGCAGGGCAGCACAGGTGATGGGCGCTCCAGCACTAAAGGGATATCAAGCGCAATGCTGAAGACTGTCAAAATGACTTTTATTATCATCCTGGTGTACACCCTCTGCTGGAGCCCATTCTTCGTGGTCCAGCTCTGGTCAGCTTGGAGTCCAAGCAGTGCACCCACACAAGGTAAGTCAAACCTGTCCAAAAGTCACTCTGAGATGCTTCCATTTTACATTTATATGATTTAATACAGCATTTTTCGATACAAAAAAATAACATAACAGTGAGTCGCATTGAAAAAACAAGATGACTAATTATTAAAATTACAGTAGCATAAACTAAGTTTGATTTGAGATGATCCAAAGAGCATCTTGAACGTCAGTGACGCACATCTGACCCGCCTACCTGTAGAAAGAGTGCAGCATCTTAAATGGCTTTTAAATATTATCATAAAGTATTTTACAATATTTTATTTGTCAATACTTCTACCCGTTTTTGACTTTTTTTTCTAATAGATTTAATGTAAATAATGTTACAATTTAATGGAAATGAATATGTTGAATAAAATACAAATGAAACAAATATGCATTTCACAGTATAACAACAAAGCTATGATAACAGATGTGACTAAATGACCATTAATGTATATGAGCCATCATATGAGCATATAATTCTGTTGCAATAACAATCAATTTCCCCACAGCTGCAGATCTACAAGATGCATAGCCATTAGTTAAACCATTCACTGGCCCACAAAGGACCCGATCAGATTAAACTGCATTACGTTTTGGTTGCCTGCAGACACCAGATGGTGCACAGCTAATATTTTTTGCACAGAAAAGTTCCACGTTTGAACACTTAGGTGCATTTTGTTATTTGTATCTGTGATTCTTTATCTCATTTCTGTTCTACAGGGCCAGTGTTTGTCACTATCATGCTCCTCGCCAGTCTTAACAGCTGCACAAACCCATGGATCTACCTGTACTACAGCTAGAACCGCACAGACAACAAGGTCCTGCTGCTGAAGACTGCATGAATATGGCCCCATTTTTTAATAAGGGAAGTGATTTTGGCGATGGAAAGTTCTAGTTTAACTTGGCATGGTCATTTTGTTTCAATTTGTAAAAAAAATCTACCATTTGTACTGCTAATGAAAATGAAGGAGACCTGTTCTCTTTTCATTTTTTTTTCACTAAGCCGTCAAATGTAACTGTATATATTCACTATGATTTACATTTAATACAGGCCTTTCTGCACTCACTGACATCATTAAGTCTTGTATCAAGAAACAATGGCTCCTTTTTAAAGAAAAGCAAGGTACTGTAATTATTTCCTAGGATGCATTATGCAGGCAAATGAGCAGCATATGTGATTGTCTTTTATTGTATAGACTTGGTCACGTTTTGCATGTCTTTTGTTTCATTTTTTAAACATTGTGTATGACCCTACCTTATCTATGTAAATTAGAGATTGGCTTTTGGTCAATGCAATTCATTTAATTGTTTTACATTCCTCATTCAAACAAAAGGAGCTTGTGATAAAAAAAAAAAAAAATTGTGTGACGGTTTCCATTGTCACTGTGATGACCTCTTATTTTCACGCACACAAATTTCTTTGTAATGCAAAGCTTGTTTTCTGTGAAAGTCACTTCACACATTTTAAAATCCGCTTGAATCCCTATAAATAAAGCTAAATGAAATGGGAATGTTCCTTCACAGAGAAACCCAGATTCATATAAACATCAGTCAAGATTTTCAGCGATCAGTTTCATAATCATATTTCCCTCCAGGAATTCACTTCTGTTCCCATAAATAATAGAGCAATTTTTAATATTTAATACACCTAATATAGTTCCTCACACATTTGGAGTATAAAAGCAGACCATCCTTTGAATGAGAAATCTCTTACGGGTTTAATTATTCCAAAAAATATGTATTTGTATTAGGGCTGTCAAACGATTAATCGCGATTAATCGCATCCAAAATAAAAGTTTGTGTTTACATAATATATGTGGGTGCACTGTGTATAATTATTTTATATATATAAATGAACACACCATGCTTGTATATATTTCAGAAATATTTTCATGTATATACAGATTTATATGTAATTTATATTATATTTAAATATAAATATTTTATATATAAATAATATTTTTTTTCTTAAATATAGGCTACATGCATGTGTGTGATATTTATATTTATATATATATATATATATATATATAATTTTACACAGTGCACCCACATATATTATGTAAACACAGACTTTTATTTTGGATGCGATTAATCACGATTAATCGCCCTATTTTAATGAGTCAGGGCCATAATTGTGCACTTATACATATAAAAAAAAAAAATCCCATTTATGCACCAAAACTTCAACTTTCATTTGAAAAACAATGAGGTAAATTAATTCATTGAAGGGTCTTGATAGTCATGTGCTTATGATTGTAAAAGCATGCCAAAGAGTATCTACTGTAGGCCATATAGAACTACCGAACAACACAACAAAATTTTGTTAGCCTTTTATTGCACAAACACTCTTTGGATTAAAGGCAAAATGAAAGCCTAAGGCACCTGTAACCAAGGTAGCTGTTGGGAAATGGGATTAGAGCATATTTAGAGGCAGATAAAAAACAGTGGAAATTGAATAGACATCATAGTACACAAAAAGACCATCGGCTATGAAACTGTAAGGGTTATGTTATTTCATATGTTTTTAAGGGTACGTTTACATGACAACGCTGTAGGCTACTAAAACCTTTGCCATTGCGTAGCCTACTGATGTCTCTGTTGTCAAAACGATCCTGCTCACAGTGATGCACAAAAACAGCTAAAAATATTCTTTAAAATATTTTCTTTTGTGCTCAGCTGAAGTGCTTTTCTAAGGCACCTAATGACATAACGCTACCTTTTGCCATTCAAAACCATGTTAATTACTGTGTCACAGCCATACACAAAATGAATAACTATTTTTAAGCTCCCTTTAGTATGTGAATGAACATCACTTCTATAACGATGGCATGACCTCTGCCACACTGACACCATGTGGCCACTAATGCATGAAAAGAAAGACAGGTTTTATTAAATCCATTTCATGTCCTCACACTTCTCTGAAGCCACAAAACAATATAAACCCCTTTAAATAGGCTTTATTTGTGCATGAGGACAAATTGTTTTCAGAAATAATTAACTTGCAGTTTGTCACGAGGGAGCCTAAATGTACTGAGGCTTAGACTGATATTTTTGTATATATTTATTACATATTCAAATATATGGGGGTAGGTTGTAACACATACTGGGGTAAGTTGTAACAATTACACAAAAGAAGCTAAAATGGATGCCATACTGTATATGTGTGTAATTTTAAATTTGTATGGTTTAATTACTGTATTTTCTGGAAAATAAGTAGCATCGGGACAAAATTGCAGTGTTGAGAAAAAATAAATAAACAATATTTATTATAAATGCCAAGCCATAAAACAAATTAAAACAAATTTATGAAATTGGCGAAATTTAACAAGTTTTTTCTTAAAACACAACAACTTTATTCTCAATATTTAATGATACGATATGCTTCAAAAACAGGTTTATTGACATAAAAGAACAGTCTCACTCCCTCAGACTGTCTGATTAACTTTTTCAAGAAGTGTTATAACCCACCCCACCCCTGTCTCACATGTTGCTAAGAAACTACATTTTAATATAATCTAATTAAAACTATTTTATCTGCAATAGTTTAGATACTAGACAAAAATAGTCTTCATCAAAAAAAATTACTTTCTTACCTAAAAATCAGATTTTTCACTATAAATTCAGAATGTGTTGGTTTCCAAACTTGACAACTACCATGCAGTATCAGGGAATGAAACTATCACACAACTCCTATCTTCTCCCTAAGTGGCAGAAATGGTGGTGTTACAACTCTCCCCGTGTTACAACCATACCCGGTCTCCCAAAGGACGTGACCACTTTAAATGTTTTCTAGTGATCACGTAGGCCTACATGTCTCAAACAGCTTCAATGTAGGATCTTCCGAAATAAGTTCCATGACACCGCCAACTAAAATATTGCATCTTTTTAAACATTGTAACAAAATACGTATCAAAACCTTACTAAAAACAATTATGATAAATTAAAAAAAATACTAAAGTGATACATATAGGCTATGCTAAAGCTTTTATTCTTACTACTTTTCCTTAAACTCCTGCTTCACAGACATGATGATCTTTAGTCACAGTGTTAAATTAAGAATAAGAGTGCATACTGTATATACTCTTATTATATTACATATAGATATGTAACATATGTAAACATAAACATGTTTTAGAGACAGTGCAATCTATCTATCTATCTCTCTCTCTCTCTCTCTCTCTCTCTCTCTCTCTCTCTCTCTCTCTATCTATATATATATATATATATATATATATATATATATATATATATATATATATATATAGTTATTTTAAGGCGGTCCTCCGTTCCTCCCAGGTTCTTCCAAAGTTTGACAGCACAGAGTACACTAGCGTGGCAGTGGCACACTGACCAGAATCCTGCTATAGAAACAGGAACTGACGCTCTGAATGTGCTCCCCGATCTGGACCAATCGAAACGCTTGTAGTCATTCATCCCGGGAATCGACCAATCGCGTTGCGAATCGTGGTACAGTAACTTCAGCGCTGTCAAGAGAGCTCAGAAAAAGCGTCAGCTGTTCTGTTTGATGTAACTTTGGGACAGAGACCATCAGGTAAGTTAAACCAGCAGATTTCTTAAATCGTTAATATTCTTAATATTATACTGCTCAGATAATAATGATATGTATGTCCTATTGCAAGTATTTCTTTAAGAATAACGAACTTGTAACCCAGTATCAACCTGTCAAGAACGACTACAGGGCATAAAAACACAAGAAATAAATCTATCTATCTATCTAATACATAGGGCCTAAATAAATTCTAAATATTCTCATACATATATTAATAAACATTATTACATAGACACTTATGTACTACTGTGAATTTTCTCTTGACAAAAAAAACAAAAGCAAATGAACTGTGATCTTGACTCTTATTTCCTGTTGACAGTTTTGACCACAGACATGGCAACAGCTCAGTCAGTGTTCTCTGTGGCTGTGAGCATTCTGCTCATCGCAGAGCTGATTCTGGCCGAGAAAGATTACTACGAGATCCTGGGTGTACCCAAAGATGCATCTGATCGCCAGATCAAAAAAGCCTTCCATAAACTAGCCATGCGGTATCACCCTGATAAAAACAAAAGCCCTGATGCAGAGGCAAAGTTCAGAGAGATTGCTGAGGGTGAGTCAACACACCCATTCAAATCGCTTTTCTGAAAATTATAAGTGTTGATCAGTTGTTAAAGCTTCATATTTTTCCATTCCCAGCATATGAAACATTATCAGATGACAACCGGAGGAAGGAGTACGACCAGACAAGGAGCCGTCCGTTCTCCAGGGAGGGCCCGAGAGGAGGCGGGGACCACTTCCGTCAACATTTTAGCTTCAACTTTGACGATATATTCAGAGACACTCACTTGCATGGACACAACCCTCATGTGCACAATAAAAGACATTTCGAGAGCCACTTTCAGGCCCACGAAGAAGCACACAGGAGGCACTTCCAGAACTCCTTCGGCAGTGACATGTTTGATGATGTGTTTGAGAATATGGAGAGGATGTTCTCTTTTAATGGACACCAGACTCAGACTGAAAACAGGTTTCACAGATCCAGCAGGCAGCACTGTAGGACTGTCACACAGCGAAAGGGTAACATGGTCACAACATTCACCGACTGCTCTTGAGTTAACGTGCACGTGGAAATGTCTTCCAGTTGTCTTCATTGAAATGTTTTGGATCAGTACTGATGACCTTATGCAAGAATCACACATTACTGGACCAAACATCCTCAGTTCAGGGATCCTAAATCTGACTTTATACAAAATGCACCATTCACAACATATTCATAATGTCATCAACAGTTTTCAACATAAACACATGGCGACCTGACCAGGTATTCTTACAATTTTAGTATATTTACATGAACATGTATTATTTCATCATTTATTTTTGGCCCTTTAAGTATATGTTTTATTTTGGCATTTATAAACTTAAAGGGTCTTTCTGTTCTTTTGTTATGAAGTCAAGATTTAGGGTCTTGAAGTATATCTCACGGTAAAAGGCTTCCACGTTTAAATCTGAGGCTTTAAAACACAATTGTGTTTACCATGAAGTTGTGTCTTATTTGTGATTTTCAGCCTGTTTTAACTTATTTCTGAAGATCCTAGAACCTTGAAGCTGTTTGACACAAAATACGTGATCACTAGAAAACATTTAAAGTGGGCATGTCCTTTGTTTACATAATTTGTATATCTTCCATCTTGGCTAACATGACACCAGAGCAAGTGGCTCTTTAGAGGGGGAAGTCCCTTACATGTGCAATAATTATTCAAATCTTCCTAATAGAGGGAGGATCCTGTTAGCTGTAGGGATTTCCTGAAAAAAAAAAAAAAAAAAAAAAGCAGCCATATGATCAAATGAAAAGCCGTGCTTAAAAAAACGGTTACTGTTTCTCGCTTTGCTATCATGTTAAATTTCCATGTTAATAGGAAGGTTTGAGCAACTACCTGAGGCAGTTGTACAAAACGCCATGTACAATCATTCATTTTCATATAAATAACAATTGAAAAAAAAATTGTACACCCCGGGACAGGTAGTTCTGTAAATGTGGATATATTTATTTGGCTGTCCAAACATTTTAGCCATAGCAGCATAACCCATCTCTCAGTAGTTTAATCTGAATGCTTGTATTTCCAATAAACAATTACCTCATTAAGCTTTGTGAACTGTCAGAATGAACAGCAATATTAACAATTATACTCGGGTTGTCTACTATTTCACTGTGTTAAAGCCAAAAAAAAAAAAAAGGCTTATAAAATAATGTATAATTCAAGCAAACACATGCTTAGATACCGCATGAAATGGAACTTTTGATCCATTATAGAGTACAACAGTGCCCGTCCACTTTTTCAGTATTTTTCGTAACACATTATTTTGATGGTCCACTTTAGACATTCTACTGACAAGTAACTTTGCAAGTACGTCAGCGAATTATTTTAACCCGAAAGTGAGTTGACATTTTTAGTTCAATTTAGTTCATTTGACAAGTTGCAGATTTACTTAAAGTTGCAGAAGTTTTTGGGGTTTTTTTTGTTGTTGATGGTCATGAAAATAAAGTGTAACAGTAAATTTTGAATTCATTTCCCCCATAGGGATTGTAAAAAAGTCAGTTAAAGGTGGAGTAGGTAGAAATTTCCTAAAAAAAAAAACTACTTTTTCGCAAATTTGTTTAAACTGTCTATACTAATACATAATTAAAATGTAAGTACTCTGAAAAAGAAAGTATACAAATTGAGTGTCAGTAGTCCTCTCAGTGTTGCAATAAACACAGCTCATTATTTCATTCACTCCCACCCCCTCCCATCTGGGATCCTTACAAAGCCACGCCCCCAAAACACATGAACGCGCGCTGCCAACCGCGCTCAGCAATTAAATGTAATAAAATGCCTAACTTTATCATCATTATTAATAGACTGATTTTCCTTTGCTGACTGTATATGCAGGTAACTGGGAATTTTGACTGCTCTTTCTTTGCCATAATTGTCATTCTTCCTAGCTTCAGTGCTTCTTCCACTACTCAAGCAAACGTGTGTGCATGTGGGCTGCTCTTATGCAGCAGTGCTGGTCGCCATGGTACCGAGGGAGAGTGACAGTCGCCAAGCCAATCATTTCTTTCGTCCCGGTTGGAAATAATGAGAGGACTACAGACACTCGATTTGTATACTTTCTTTTTCAAAATACTTACATTTTAATTATGTATTGGTACATAGACAGTTTAAACAAATTTGGGAAAAAAAGTTTTTTAGAAAAATTCTACCTACCCCACCTTTAAAAGCAAAGGACCAAGACAATCAGCTACAAGGTGAATCATAACACTACAAACTTTGATTTGAAGCAAATGTTTTAGAAAATTTGTGTGCAAGATTTCTATAGAGAAAAACCAGGCTAAAACACACCGTAAATAGGCCTTAATATGTAGCGGAAAAAAAACACCCAATCTAGCAACACAAGCCACCAGTGTCGCACCGCGGCCGCCGCATGTGTCCTCAAAACAAAAAGCAGCATGTAGTCGACAGAGCATCGAAGAGGCGTCGTACTATGATCATTTAAACCAGTTTTATGTCAAGGTCAGTCAAGATGGGAAAAAAAATCATACATTTCTGTGCAAACTTTTTACCCACCGATACAATAATTGCTGTCTGTGGTTGTATATTGTATATTGTAAAATTTGTAAAAAAAAAAAAAAAAAAAAAAAAAATGCTTGGAGCAATATATGGAAAAAAAGTATGAAAAATGAAAGTATGAACTATGAACTAAACTGGTTAATTTTAAAATTTGTGAACTAGTTCATGTAGAAAGTGAGCTTTCCCAACACTGTGCATATGCAGGACAATGTTCCAAATGCTAATACAACGCAGTCCAGAAAACTTGTTACAATGCTCATATTTGTCTCAGTTTTCCCTCTTTTGCATCATGATTTGAAATGATCCAAAAAGTATAATCGGAAGGACATCTGATCATCATAATGAGTCACAAATGTGCTTATTTCATTAGTGACCAAGAAATAGTTCAGTATTTGAAAAATGTTTCCTTCATTTTACAAAATTTATGGGGAAATTGTACCTTCAAAAGATTATGCTGCAGACAATGTAGTGAATTCAACAGCAGTGTGATGGGATATCAGGAAGTACCTTATCAGGAAGACTCCTTAAGATGCCACTGACAAAAGAACAGATGAGGTATTTATTTACAAATTTGGAAAACAAGAAACAGATGTCAACAATCAACAGTGGAACAGGATTTTATTAACACAAGGTTATTTTAGAATGAAAATTCAGCAATTAAACAAGTTATAAATCACTCACATTAGTCCTTCAAGCACAGGTTCAGATGCACAACAACATCTGAAGAACAGACTGGGTTATTGTAGCTTTGTTCAATTCTGCACTTGGGACCCCTCAACACAGCACAATTAAGGAAGTGTCTGAAATATGAAAAAGACAGTATATATTATGGCACCAAACTCAATATTTGCTTACAAGATGCATATTTATCAGGTTTTGCAGCATAGATATACCCTTAGGTGATTATGACTTCTCACAATGGTGTTCAGTTTAAGGGACATGGGACGACAGACTGTATGAAATTAAATATGCTGTTTATTGTCAAGCCTGGAAAAAAAAAAAAAAAAACAAGGAACTGGAAAAAACCCCAACAGGAAAAAAAATTGTCAGATAATTGGGTGTGTTCTTGTTCTGGAATTCTGTGGCAGTTGATGGGAAAAAGCTTATCATAATATCATCGGCAAACAATTTAAAGCACAGTATGTTGCATATTTTAGCTGATATGCTTTTGTAATCTAAACAACTAATCAATAACAATAAATACAAATGTTTTAGCTGCTCTTAAAGTTGAAAGGAATACAACAACTTTACTTTTGTAACCAAAACAAATAATTAAAAAAAAAAAAACTGTATATTCGCATTCAAGAGTACAAAAGGTTTGCTCACAAAAGTCTGCCATTATATATATATATATATATATATATAGCAAACAGGCTTAACAAGAACAGTTTCAGCAGTATTGTTTTCTTCCCCAGAATTGGTAAGCCATGTTATGGGCTTACTTCATCAGACAGCTTGAGTGATCTATTTACCTGTGCAGGCACTTTGGGAACTTATTTTGATTGGGTGACTAGCAGTAAATAAAGAAGTTGAATAGGAGCTATGTTGTGGTTACACTGCCCTTCCCTCATTGGGTTTGGTATTAATGGTCCTTTTGAATAGGGTTTGAAGAGAAGGGGAAGGAAAGCAGCTCTTTGTTTGAAAAAGATAAAGCCCTCGCTACTGCTTTGCCAGAAAATGTAAATACTTCGGCAGGCGTGAGATGCATACATAAATTCATAAACCATTGGACAAATTCCCAGAAACATTTAGAGAGAGAGAGAAAGAGAGAGAGAAGAATCCAAAACATAGTTTAATTTTTGTTGTAGATTCTTTCTTTATAACTACACTGTAAAAAAAAATATTGTTGGTTTAACTTAAAAAATTAAGAAACCTTAAAATTTTGTGTTGTGATAACAAATCTTGAAAATATATATTTTTAAAGTGTACAGTCATCAATTCAATCATCATTTACATTTTTTTTATTGTTAAGTGCTCAATTATTGCATAACAAATAAAAAATATATTTAAAACAGGGAAAGGACTCATTGACACTGTGCGAAACAGATTACCTTGCAAATTGAATTACCTTACTTGTAAGTCACAGTGGAGGAAAGGTTTACATACCCTTCAAGCACAGTCTCCCACATTTTTATCATCCACAGCAGACAGGAAACAATTCCACACTTTACCACAGATGTTCCAGAACAGTTAAACCCTGACAACAGAAAAAAAAAAAAAAAAAAAAAAAATAGTTGAACAAATGTAACTTTCTTGAGAATATTTCCCAGAAATGAAACTGCACTTTAAATTATATTTACATTGAGGAAAATAAGTATTTGAACACCCTGCTATTTTGCAAGTTCTCCCACTTAAGAAATCATGGAGGGGGCTGAAATTGTCATCTGTCACTGTGAGAGACATAATCTAAATAAAGCATAAAGACACTTCCCTGCGTCCCAATTCGCTTACTTATACTACACCCTAAGGGTATGTACTCTTTTTGTGAAGAAAAAGTACATACTTTTGAGTGTGTAGCAAAAGAGTAGGCAAAGCTTTGGGACATACTATCACGTCATCTTTAACGGACAGCTCTGTCGCGTGCTGCGTGCATCCTGCCAACGTAAACTGCCCTGTCAATCATCTTGTCACAGTTCAAATCCTCCATTCAATCTAATTTGATTTTCTACCGTTTCGGAGAGCACGTTGATCTGCCAGTCGTGGGTCTTTCATGCAGATACTCTCCTCATGTTTGCAATTTGAATATAATGATGGATTTAAAAGGTAACGTATATTTAGAAAAGTTCACAATGCTGCTACAGATGCAATATAATGTGGACAACATTGAATAAAATCATTTCGTTTTCGTTAGATACTGATAATTAATCACACAAACCTCTTTATCTACACCTCTCAACATAACCGCGGGACTCGCGCGTCCTCCATGACTGTAGTTTCTTAACACTTTTCCCTCATCTTTGTAGTTCTAAAGGAATCCTCGTAGATGAAATCCTCGAAGATGTGCAAGTTGAGACTGATGCTTTGTTACTTAGATTTGAATCCCTCACGTAACCTACATTAGTGAAAGTCTGACTAATTCATAGCATTTGTCTTTATTGATGTAGCTCCTAATAAAGTTATCAACAAAAGTTACTTTCCAAAGCCCATTTTTTACTCATGGTTGGTGCTCATTTTGGAGGTGCAACATGCATGCTGTCAGCTTTCACCAACAAAACAGTGCACAGTATTCATTACATATTCAAATGTTTGACTTTATGTTGAGCGCTTCAATGAATTTTAAGTGTCCAAACAACCAACATAACAGAATGACAGCAGAAATCATTTGCCTGGTGATTTACAGTACAACTGATTAACTATTATCAGTTGTTTACACAGTGTGGGGCTCTACATTTTTCAACAGCACACTTTTCTAGCATATTGATTATGCACCAGATCACAGCGGTATAATCTCAGTCGACCGAGGTCTCATAAAATGTATCTGTATCTTTTATCAGTTAGCCTCTTTACTTTCATTCGCTGCACACCTGAAAGGGGAACTTCAGGAGCCAGTCAGTTGATATTTAAAACTTGTGTCATGACAATGAGCAATGAATTAACTGTTGCTTTACAAGCTTAGAGCAAAAAAGAACGAAATGTATTAAAATAGGACTGCATTTTGGCGTTTTCCTCAAACAAAGTGTGTGCTGGAAGTGTGTACTCAATATTTTAATCTGTCAAGTCTTTCTATGCCTCTTTAGTTGACAATCGCACTAATATGAATGTGAATTGAATTGAAGAAGGAAATGATTATCTTTTTTCTTTGTTTGCTTTGTAAGAAATGATGCATTGCATTTATTAGAAAAACAGAAAAAGAGCATTAAAAATCCATGTTTTCTTTCAGTGTCCCAA